CCAACCTCAATCGCGTTATTTATCGTGACGGGATTGAGTCATGACGGCTTTCCAGAAATGAACTCATGGTAGAAAATGTTGTTCTTGTCCTGTTTGTCACAACAAGGAGTCCACATGACTTTCATGTCAGAATAAAGCCAATGGCAACGTCATGAGATCCTCATATGCTGAGACTTTAAAATTATGCCGAGTCACAGTCATAATATCTTTTGGTTTTCTTTGTATTCTAAACTTCCTTGTTTTTAAATTCATAGAAAAACATATCACTTCTTTAATTTGACTTTACATGATACTTTGTGTCTGTGTAGTAATGATGAGGCAAGTAAAACTTACTGATACACAGGGAAGCAACCAGATGAGCGAGATTATTACTAAAATGAACCCAGGTGGGTCTAATTAGAGCGTAAAGAGCTGAGGAAGAGAGATATTTTGTGATTGGTCACAAACCGGAAGTGAGCGTGGTCACGTAATGGACTTCCCAGTAGTTGTGTTGTTTACAGTTCCTAAAAGAAAGCGTGAATGACTCACAACACACATCAGCATAGTAACAGAGCACAAGACTTCTTCAATGTCTTTAGATGCCAAACCGAAAGCTGACAGAACAGGAAGTAGCTACCTCTTCAAGTTTACCAGAAACAGTCAATGGAAAACAACACACAAAGATGGGAAATAACAGCAGTTACTCTGAATGATAAAACAATATTTATTAGTAGAATTAAGTGATAAAGAACTATATCTTGTTGGCCAATGATGAGACTCAGGAGGATGTTTTAGATGTAGCGAGGAAATTCAGAAGCAGATGAACAAAATGGCAAATACAGAACCACCTCTGGCAGAAACAGGAACCAAACGGGGCGATTCATCCTCCACATGACGCCGCTGCACTTCACTCCTTTCTTTATGGAACCAGAAGAGCTTTTCACATTAGGCGGCATTTTAGAATGTGTTTCTAGGAAAATTATATCAAAATAGTTGTCACTGAGTGACAGAAAAACAAAAAAAATCTCTGTGTCCTTGCACTAATTTTATTGGTTAATATATTTGAAAAATAAAAAATGGCGAACCTTCCACCATAACTCCATTTATGGTGAGAAAAAGTCTTCATTGACGTCTTATGTTTCACTGAAGTCATTCCCATTGTGTGGCTTTGGCTGCTATTGACCAAGTTTGGGAAGAAAGAAAAGTAAACAAAAGGAAACTCACTTTTCGGGTGCATACTCTGAGGTTACAGGGAGTTCGGCGGTACCCGTTTTCTACCTGGAAGTTAAGATTTCTGCACTGCTAACAGGAAAAATCAACAGAATTGTATCTCCGTTGGCATATTTTTAATATAATGTACAATGTTACGCGATTAACCAAAGAATATATACTATGAAATGGATTAATAAGCAATTAAGTTGCAAAGAAAACATGTTGGTAAAATAATAAAGATGTTGGTGAATGTTTACATATGTGTAACAAGCTTCTGTAAAACAAAACAGCTGATTTAGATTGCTATTAATTAACATCAGCATCATGTTGAGCTGCCAATGGTTCTTAGTGAATTGCATAAAGTGAATAGAATACTAAAAAAAAAAACTACTTTTTTTCAACTTTACCTTAAATCAACAGCTAATAAGTGGATAAAACCTGGACTGAACTGGGTGTTGCTACCAAAGACACATCCAACTGGTTTTGGAATGGATGCAGCTGGCTAACTTTAAGCTTAGAAAACAGCAGCAGCAAAAAACAATAATATTCAGAAACATAAAAATAAAAAAAATCACTGGACCAGGTTTGTGGTATTAAATCAATCAAATTAAAGTAACTCCGCTAAATTTGCCAATGTGAGTGTTCCTATATCCAGACAAAATTAGCTTGTCTGTAGCTACAAAGAGAGTGGTTGAGTTGCATTTTACTAAATTAAATATGAGTGAAGGAGTATAGACACATTTATTTAGAGAAAATCCTCAATAAATGAAATCTTGTGTTGCTCTCCTATTTCAAGTTGCATTAAATAATCAAATAATTTGAAAAACAATCAAAACCATGACAAGCAGATGTAAACTTTTGACCAAAACTGTAAATATACTCGGTTTTGTGTATTTATACCAATATTTGATAAACAACACTGAAAATAATATAGATAAGTGAGTATTTGTCAGGGTAATGATAGCAAAATATGAAAAATAGTAAATAAATGGTAGTCTGATTTGACCAAATTATCATTAGCATCTTTGAGTTAGCCTAGAATGCTACTAGCATGTTATTTTAGCAGATATTTTACAAGTTAAACATGTAAAAGTTGTATTATATGTTGATAGTTACCAGTTTGACGTAAATATTAACACTAACATTTTGTACAACAAAGGGGAAAATTATATGGTTGCACTTTCGCTGCAGCATGCTAACAGATGCTAGGAGTCACCATTTTAGCATCGTTAGCAAAAATGAGCTTTTTACAAATAAAGTCTGTTTGGTGAGCTTGAAATAAATTTGATGTACTTTATTTGACAAAATATGGACTTTGTACTGTAATGACGATCTTTACATATATACTGTACACATACTAAACCGTATAACTCCGATACATGAGTGGTTTTCAGTCGGCTCCTTGTTGGAGGATTACAAACACAGAAATCAAGATGTGTGGAGCCCCTTCTACATCTAGATGTCCAATGACAAGCACTTTTGTTGCAGATCAATGAGGAAATCACCAACTTTCCTCCAACATTCACTCAAACAGCAACTGAGGTCAGAAACAAAAAGAATCACAAGTTCTTTAAATAAACCTCAAGTAATCTCAGCAGCAGGAAAATGAAATGTAAAAGCAAAACATGCCCAAACTTGAATGAAACTCAGGTATAATTATCAAAACTAGAATAATTTAATACTTTAAACAACAATGCCATTTTATTAAGCAAAAAACAAACCGAAAAGAGGTAAGAAAACGTCATGCACAAGTGAAGTGTGTTTGTGTCGCTCGGAACAGGCTGGACCTTTTCACACAGTCACCTCTAAGAATCACTCACATAAAATCCGTTCCTCTATAATCCCAAAAGGAAGCGCTCCGTGTTGGAAATCGGACACCCGGAGCCACGGCAGGAGTCCTGCATTTCGCAACAAACGTTTGTCGTCATCAAAAAGTGAATTTAGTTCAGAAAGTTTCCGGCGAAAGTTGCACAATGTTGAGAGGAAGACTGAAGAGTCTGATTCAGGAATGTCAGCAGAAATGATGCTGTTGCAGATTCTGACCATTAGCAATTAGAAAGTGTCTCAGTTTAATAAAACTCGTTTATCCTTTTTTTTCTTATTATAAAAAAAAACATTTAATGTGTTTTAAATTGAAAAAAATAAAAAAAATAAAAATCTTTTCAAAACAGCAGCACAAAAGTCCAACTTTTAATTTGAGTACATTTATTCAGTGGGGAAAGGAAATATTACAAATTCAAAAATGTTTTACTTTGAAGCAAATTTTGGCTTTGGATAAAAATATAACAAATTCAATTTTAAGAAAGTAATTCAACCCAATTTATAACAAATATATTAAAAGGTTTGCAAAAATGAACATCTTTTTGCTCTACCTGTGTGGAATATTATTGAATAAAACATAAAATTTCAGTTTATGCTGCTGCAATGAAAGATATGTAAGGCTTTCTACCAGGACTGCCAATAAATGTAACTTTTAGTCACAAAAAGACAATAAAACTCTGAACCTTTGAGTTAATTAATTAATTCATTAAAATCATCTTAACTTTCAGATTAGACCTTTTTTTTTCTTTTTCTTTTTAAATAATCTGGATCAAAATCAGCCTAATTTAAGCAGGAATCTGGAAATTAAATTAATTTAAAATATACATGAAAATTCCTGAACATATCTTAGTAAATTTCTCAGAAAACCTTGTAAAGTTGTTTAATTTCTCTAAAATACAAAAGAAATGAAACTCCAACTCAACACTGCACATTCAATACTCCTCGGTGCTAAATGCTCGACTGTGTTAAACATTAATGTAATGTAAACAACAAACAGAGAAATGTAAAAAAAAAGAAAAGAAAGAAAAATAAAAACATCTTTATATTCTACTGAATATAAAGATTTCTTTTAAAAGTTTCTTTTAATGTCAGATGAACACTGCAGACACACTTTGCTTGTGTTGAAGGATAAATGAATCTGTACACGCTTTTTTTTTTGTCGGATATGTTGCGAGTCACATCTTCCCGCTACACGTTTCCATGGAAACGCCTTATGAGTCAGGAGGAGCCATTAAAAAAAACGACAACAGGTATCGGTTTGATTCAAAGCACAGGTGAGTAATAAAGCTGTCGGGTGATTCCAGACTTGTATTTCCTTGTTTTTAACGCCGATCAACAGAAATACATCAGCAGCTCACGTGAGTTCATCCAGGTGTCTGAAGGTATGGCAGGCAGTTTTAGCATACAATCAGTTTCGTCTGAATATCCATAATTACAACCCAGATATCTAAAAATGCATTTTGACTAAACTGGATGGTAATTAAAGAAATCAGCATTCACATTCTGACGATAAATAATTCAAGATATTTTCAATTATATTTTTCAATTCCTTTCAAAATACCTCAAGTTGCAGCACTGGATTCGTCATTTATTTGTAATTACAATTCAAGATACTGCATCTTGAACATAATTAAAAATAACATTTTTACATATCTGAATTAAGAATTACCCCTTTGTGCTACACTCTAAAACTGAAGCGTAAATTTCTGGATTCATCTTGGAAATTTTTTAGGAAAAATACGAAGATTTCTGAGATTAAAAAGTTGAAAATTTCCCAGAAAACACTCAAAAGTTTTTTAGATTAATTTCAGAATTTTTTGTAATAATCTTGGAAACATCCGAGATTCCAAAGTAAAATGTTTGAACTTTAATATTTCAATTTCTTGAAACTTCCTGAGATTAATCTAAATGTTTTTGAGTTTTTTTTCTAGCTATTTTTTTAACTTTTGGAGCTCATAAATTTCCTTGTTTTTTCTGGGACATTGAAAAGTGGAAATTTGCTCTTTTTTTTTCTACAACGGCCTCAAAATGCCATCATGAGAAAAAGCTCAGCTGCTGCACTTTCAAATATTGTTTTTCTTTTTGAAAATACTTTCACCTGCCATATCCTCACCTTTCCACCCTGACAGGTGAATTTGCAAAGACGATTTGCTAAGAAAATAGCAAATTTGACCCCAAGGAATGTTTTGTTGAAACAGAACAGCCAATATATTTCAGTTTTTAAAAAAGGTGTTAAAAAACAAGCAACACTTTAGAAAATTTACATTTCAGGCAAAAAAAGGGATTAATTTTGCATTACTGGTCCAAAGTTCAAGCTGTAATCAACACCTACAGACAGCCGTGGTACAGATGTTTAAAAATAACCTGTAAGAGCGTTTATCTTTTATTGCAGCAGTAGTAATATACATGTAGGATGCATAAAAGCTGGTATTTATTCATCCCAGACTTGGGATGAATAAATCTCTACGGTTTAATAAATCAGAGAAGGAAAGGAGAACATGCCATTCAGGTGATTCAGGCGTGTGTGGCTCGTTGCAAGTCAGGACATGGCCGTAAAAACACAATTATGCTTTTAACTTGGTCCAAATCTACAGGCAGTCATGAGTGAGGAGCACAGAGCAGCCCGACCTCAACAAACAAAGCATTTCTTATCTTGATTTCCACTGGTTTGGAAATCAAGATCACAAAAAGACACATATGGAGTTTGCTAAACTCTATCAGGATTTCACCTGAAATATAAAATAAACGTTCAGAATGTGGGAAAACCACCTAATGTGTAAAGTTAATTAAAAAGAGAGAGTATGTTTCTCTCCTGAAAGCCCCAAGAAACACAAATTATTGAAACATGTCATTTTTAAATAAGAATTTGCTGCAAAACTGAAAATGGTTTATATCTGGGTGTCTTAGTAGCATAACGATCCAAACTTATTGCCAAATAAACACTAAAATGGATAAAAATCAGCTTTATTATACCTGCAGTCCTATTGAGAAATGAATAAATTTGTGAATTTCAGATTTTTTCCAGTGCAAAATGAAGCCGCTGCAATAAAAGGTGAATTTTTCTGAAGGTTTTCTCAGCATCTTACCAAAGGTGTCTGTACATGTGGATGATTTCTGTTTATAACGTCACAGAAGAGCTCAGCTTATTAATGCCTCCATGTACACAACTGGGTCAAAGGTCGACGTGTTCGTAAAAACTGACAAGTTCAGTCGTGTTGGTGATGTTGGTTTGACTCCAGACCGGACGGACGGCACAAACAGGACGACCAACACAAAATGAAACCTGGGTTCTGGTACAGATGAGCTACATTCAGTTTGGTTTTGTTAGTTTGTTGTTTAGCTTCAGAGAAGATTTGTGGTAATTGTTTCACATCAAACATGTGGCCTCCACTTTCCATTCAAAAACAAACTCTGTGGTTCCATCTGGAAGTTTCCAAGATGGCCGTTTTGACTCGTATTCACAGGAGAAGGTTAAATCCTACAGGACGCCCTTGTTTAAAACATTTTTTTTAAACTTCTCTGGTAAAACTGTTTCCCAGAAAAACTTTGTTTAGGAGAAATAGAGCGCTGCAGTTTGGTTTCTGTGTCATAATGAGCTGTGACTCATCAGGTGAAAACATCAGCAGCATGTGACAGACATGTTTGAGTTCACGCCCTGCAGATCCAACCTGGATTCATGAGACGGTGGTTATTTGGATTAGATATGACACCACAACAGTGTAATGTCTTTGGCACACAGGTTTATGGGATAAATAATCTGCTTTGATCGCAATCCTGATCATTTTCCAGACTTAATATAGTTGCAAAATATGACCAAAACAACTCCATTACAAGACGAATTGCACTTGCAATTGTTAAAAGTCAATCAACCAGCACAACCAATAAATAGAATAAATAAATATAAATAAATAGTCGAGAGTTAAAATCTCTGCTGCAATGCTGCCGCGTTCGGAGGCAGTTCGTTTCCTGGTTCGCCTCTGCACCTGCGGAGTGAAATCCAGGACAGGTGTGACACTCCCCTCCCGGTTCCTCTCTGCTCCGTACCGGTGCAAATCCAGAGTCCGGCGGGAGAGAGCGACGGAGCGCCAGCGCCTCAGACTGCGGTCTCCAGGTCTTCGTTGGTGCCGGATGACGTCTGCTGCTGGGAGCTCAGGAAGACGGCGAGCTCAGAGTCTCCTGCTGCTTGGTCGGCCGCCGTCTTCCCCTGGTGATGAGCAACAAGGTTGGAGATTAACTCGACGTCAATCTGTTAGTCATTCAGCAAAAAGTATGTCAAAGCCAAACACTTTCTCACTGCCCGACACAAAATCAGCAAACATTTTCTTGTTTTATTCTGCAAATGTAACTTTTTTGGTACATTTTTATACTTTGATTACACTTTAAAAAACAGACCTGTTTTCTGGCAATAACTTAATGTTTATTGGTGAAAATAACTGAAAATAACTGTTTTAACTGTTATGTCACATTCCATAGGCAATGCTCGTTACCTAGCAACCCCAGCAAAGTTCCACACATTACCTAGCAACCCCAGCAGAGTTCCACACGTTACCTAGCAACCCCAGCAAAGTTCCACATATTACCTAGCAACCTCAGCAGAGTTCCACCATCACCTAGCAACCTCAGCAGAGTTCCACATATTACCTAGCAACCTCAGCAGAGTTCCACCATCACCTAGAAACCCCAGCAGAGTTCCAGAACATTTGGCCAGTTGGTTTTATCACTCCATCAAGATCAGGAATGTCTTTAAAAAGAAAATTGTGGCAGAAAGTTTTGATAAAACTTTACAATATTAACAACTTATTGAATTTAATTAAAGTTAAACATATTTTCACTTTGACCTAATTTAGTAGAATGCAGATAATTGAAAACGTAATATTTAAAAATACAACTGTAATCTTGACTGTTCTATTTCTGGAGTCTAGTTCTGATTTGATTTGACACATGCGACTTACTGCATTCTTGTTAGTTGTGCAGAAGGCTCCACTTCTGCTTTTCAGAAATGTACAGTTGTACCCATTTGCAGCTATTTTCACATGCTAGTGTAAACATTGAGTTAGTGAGAGTGGCCAGAAGCAACTTAATTGAATTTAAAGTGACAAGAGGAGCTTAGTAGGTCACCTTTAACAAAAAAAAAAAAAAAAAAACCTCCAAAAAACTTCTGTTTAATAAAAACAAAAAACTTTTGCAGCTGTGGGGAAGCCTTCAGCTTGTTCAGTTTGTTCTTTTAACTGTGATCATCTTAGTTTCTGCTCAGCAGCTTGCAGGTGTGCTGTAGCACAATGCCAGGACACAAAGACATCAACAATGATTCTTTAGAAAAGGAAGTGTTCGTGTACATCAGTCTGAGAAAGGTTATAAGGTAATTTCCAAATAATTTGATGTGGAAGTCCATTGTTTACACATGTGAAACATTTAAAACAGCTGACTGTCTTTGCATAAGAGGGTTTCTCAGGGAAATGGTATGAAAAAAACAAACAGTGTGCTTCCCCGCCTCAGTTAGCATAACTGTTAAAGTTTTCACAGATTAAATACAAAAAAGCATCTTCTGTTTCTTTTCTGATTATAAATTGCTTCCACCACAGAGTTTATATTTTAGGATTTCAACCTGAAACCAAAATCAGGTTTAAATGCAGAAGCTCAGGTTGAGCTGAATTTGACTTATTTTTGCAAATAATAGCAAACTACACATCAGTGTTCCCTTTGCTATATTAAAACAAACCATATTTTTGCTTGTTTATTTTAAAATGAAACATCATGAAGCTAAAACTCTGGCTACACCAGAAGTTAAGAGAGACACGCCCTTTAAAGTCAGCAAAGCAACTTCTGGGTAAATCATTTACATATCGGGTTGATCTGAAGTTACTCAGCTGGAGTTACTGAAACTGCTTCATTTCTACCATTTCATCTGTTGGTTACCTGGAAGTTTGTCTTCTCCAGCGAAGCGCCGGCCTCCACCAACATCCGACACACTGCATGCTGCTTCTCTGAGGCGGCTTTGTGCAAGGCGGTCTCCCCCCTGCAGACACACAGGAAGGCTAAGCTAAATATAACTCTGGTTTGATAGTCGATAACAGCTAGACCACAGTGAAGCAAAACTGACAGAAAACAACAATTAGCAGGACACAGTTTGGTTGCTGGTGTGAATTCACACAAAAATGTCCAACTACAAATATCTTATATGGGTTCTTAAGTGTGATCGACTAAAAAATTGACTATTTTCAACACATTTTCGCCATCTGACTACATTTCCTGTAAAAGGAGTGACTATGCATGCTAGTGGAGTTTAACATCAGCAAACCTTCCTAATTAATACATAACGTGAACATATTTTCCAACCTACTTGTCTCTGTCGGTTAAATCCAGGAGAACTTTTGAACCTGCAGAGTAAGAAACAAAAACAATAAACTATAAAATATAAAAATCATCGGCATTATTTACCAAATGTGTTGGAATAGAGTCCAGTTTCTCACCTTGCTGCAGGATGAAGCTGACCAGATCTGTGTGTCCGTTCTGGGCAGCTAGATGTAACGCAGAACAACCGCCGGAGTCTCTCACCAACAAGCTGACTCCTCGACGTACGCCATCCATCAGCTGGACAGAAAATACGCCACAATGTACAAGAATCTTCATGTTTTATGCAGAAAGTGAGAAATAAAATGACATTCGAATCACATGCCACTTTTAAGAAGTGCTTTCCGGCATGCTTTGGATCATTGCTTTTAAATTTCTACTCCAACCTGTAAGCCTTTAGAGGAAAAATCCAGAGTCAGAGTGATGGACTCAGACCTGAACCTTCAGAGTCACATTAAGACAGTTACAAAGTCAGCCTTCTACCACCTGAAGAACTTTTCCAGGCTTTCATTTCCACCGGGTTAGTACCAAGCCGTTCAGCAGTTCACCGCTAATCTGGAACAAGCTTTCAGAAAACTGCAAAAACAGCTGAAACACTGACTTCAGCCCACCTTGTTAAGAGCTGCCTTTGACAAGAAGTGGTGAAACATTGAACAACAAATTTGATGTTTGTGATTTTGACAAAATGTTATGTTTATTTCTTGTTTCATAATTGAACACTGTATGATGCAAGTCTTTATATCTGTTGCTGCTGTTACGCCTAAATTTTCCCTTTGCGGGACAATATTTCTATTTCTAAATCACTTTAAACTGCCTTGTTGCTGAAATATGCAATGCCAATAAACTTGTCTTTGAAAAAAGAGGAAGTGCTTAAGAAACCGGTACAGTTTAAGAACCACCAAGCCTCAAACTTTCGATAAACTGGAAACGGAAATGGATGAAGCACCCAATGTTGCATCATGTTCAAAGTGCACTCAGTTCAAAATCAACACCTTTAACATCAATTAAAATTCAAACCTGGCCAAATCGACGAGCCAAATGCCTTTCAGAGAAACGTTTTGTAGTCAGATTAAGACAAATATTGAGCTACTGAGCAGAAGTATGTTTGGTGGAGTGTTAGGCTGCGTTCACATTGCAGCCCGAAGAGACCCAATTTCAATTTTTTTTTAAATTTTTTGCTATAATGCGACCTGTATCTGACTTTTTCATGACAGTCTGAACAACACAGGTCGGACTTTTTTCGACCCAGGCCATTAGACATCCTATACGTATCTGATCTTTTCAAACGTGACCTGAATCTCAGAAGGTCGAATTCATCCGACCTGAACGTCATTGATACTCGACAAACGTCACTACGCTGCGTCCTGATAGGTGCAAGCGGGAAGAAAAACAGCAGCCATGATGGACCTTAATGAGGATTAAGTTATTAATATCCTGCTCCGGTCAGATAACTTCAAATGTGTAAGCTAAGCTCTACCGTTAGCATCCATGTTTACGTCTGCAAATGCTGAGCTTCTTCTTCTTCTTTATTATGGCAGTTGGTAAAACATTACTCAGCACACTGTGTATCGTTATTGCGTCCTTTACTGCGCATGCAAGACACTTTCAGTTGTTTGCAGTTCACACTGTAGGTCACGTACAAGCCGCATATAATTGGAAGTATGAACAACCATGCAAAAACATAAAAATAAAAAAAAAAATTACGATTTGACAAAAAACTTGGAATTGGGTCACTTCAGGCTGCAGTGTGAACGTAGCCTCAGTTGGCAACACATGGACTCATCCAGGACAAATCACAGTGAAACAACTTCTACATCCCAGAACTGACAACTCTAAGTTTTTGTTTGTATTATGAACCAAGGAGTTCATAAATGCTGCATCATAGTAGCTTTTAGCTAGTTTTGTTGTTGCTAAGCTACAGGCCCAACAGCTGAACACATGTGGGGAAATCTGGATATCATAACCACAACATAACCATTACTCTCCCTCTCTCTCTTCCACGCTTCCTGCTCAAAAGTGAAACTTGTTTTGTGCAATGTCATCTCTGCCTCACCTCTTCTGGAAAGGAAGCTCAAAGCTTTGTTCTGACGAAACCTGTGACTAAAGAACGGTGTGGAAACGTTTTGAAGCTAAAGATTTAAATCTACTCTGGACAAATATACGAAGAGGCAGAATTATGAAGGGGCATGACTGCTTCAGATAGCAGCATGATCATCAAACATGGAGCAGTTTTCCCAAATCCCAACTAAAATACAGTCAAAAAATTGTGGAGTAAAAGCTAGCTTAGCATCAGGAGACCCGAAATTCAAGTTATACAAAAACCACTCATGTTGCTTTAAGGAAAAGACAGAGAAATATTTTAAATTATGGAATGAAAAAAATAGTTAGAATTAATTTAATGACTCACTGGTGCTTTTGTTTAATAGAAATCCTAAACAGACTGGAAAATCCTGTGGATTATTCATGCAACTCTACCCTACTGTAAACAAACAGGCAGAACTGGCTTTAGAGTTTTTAAGTTTTTGGACATCAGGGTTTTTTTCCCCAGTGGAAAGTACCGTACCAGTAGAAGATCTCCAGTACTGGCAGCGGTTAGAAGAGCTGCAACAAAACACAAAAACACACAGAGAAGTCACGAGACGCATGATTCCTGTAGAATATAATTAGAAAGAAAACATGTCGAAACAATTTGATCCATAGAAACTCTGACAGGAATGTTAAAATCATCTGACTCATTGTGATTTAAAAGGTTCAACAGATCCAAACCTGTCGTCTCAGAAATAAACCTTATGATTGTCTGACTAGTGGATAAAATGTGTGTTTCTAAAAGTGGCCTCAGCAGCACATTAAAATGGTTTTATAGGCACTAAATGATCATCATCTACCTGGAGGTGGCACTGGATAATTTTAATGTTGATGCAGAATTGCATAATTAAAATGCAAAAACTTCCAGAAAGTAAAAAAATAAGTTATAAATTGAGTTTTGGAGCTGAAAACACGGATAAAGATGTGCAGAAATTTCCTGTTTAACCTTTGTGACGTGAAAATGAAAGCAGAGCAGAACAATAAGCAGTGAAATGATTAGCAGTAACAGGGAGTTCAGGGAATTCCTGGCTGTAAATAACTAAACTTTGCTCCAGGGTTTCCTTTTTTATCAGGACAAGTCCAGGCATGTCTCAGTTCATTCACCAGAAACAATATTTTATGATTCTGGTTTTCATGCTTCACAATTCTAAATTAAACTCTTAAAATTCTCTTGAACAGTTGAAGCTGTTTTAATGCATAACGAGCTGATGAAGGGAAAAGCAGTAATCAAAAGTAAAACACTCAGATTTTTACTTTGCAAAAAGTCGAATGGAAAAAATATGAAAAATTCAGTAAAGCGTTTACTTTATTGATTCCTTACATTTTAAAGGTGTTTGTTCTGTTTACTGTATGTTTTTGTCTTTTCAGTGGTAGCGTGTTTGTTTTCAAAAAAATCTACAAATTCACATATGTTACACTGTAAAACTATTATGTTTGCTATGTAGGTTAGGTTTGATTATATAATTATATAAAACTAATGTGGTTATCATGGTTACCTTGTTCATCAGGTGTCAGAGGAGCACTGGAAAAAAAAAACATAAAAAAGAACAATGATTTCCTTAAATGTTCCCAAGCAGCAAATCTGATTATTAAAAAAACAGAAAGGTCAGCATTTATTATTTTCACTCAGGCTTTCCTTCCAGTGGTGCCATGTTAAAGTGATACTGGAGGCTCTGTTGTGTTGCCATGGCAACCCCTTGGCATATTTACGCCATTTTTTAATCTATTGTTCAACTTTTGCACCAAGAACACAATTAAATGTTTCTAATTTGTAAGAAATAAATGATAACATTAAAATAAAAACCCCAGCAAAGTCAAAGAAAAATGCAAAGTCAGCATTTTACAGGCAACATAAAATGACATTCAAACAATATTTTTCAGATAAAATTTACTTTCCAGACTTTAATTTTCAGACTTTTTACCATTTTGGAAGCATAACACAGAAAGTAACCATGAATCTATAACATATATTTCAACACTAGTCCTACTTTAAATGATTACATGGCTTAATGGCAATAAAGTCTGATAATGTTGGTATTTTTCTTTACTTAAACAGATGTGGAAATATTTAAACACAATCCTTTTTTAAAATGATTAACTCTGAAAGTGCCTTAAAAATTTATTTCTCTTACTGAAAAAGTGATCCATTAAATAATAATAATAATAATAATAAAAAAAACACAATTTATCATTTGCAGTATAAATCCATCATCTAGTGACATCTGGTGGTGAACAGATGCAACTGCAGCCACATTCAACACCTCAATGTATTCAGACCTCTTCATTAAATCATTCCCCTGGTTCTGAAGTCTGAAGCATTAAACTACTAAAAAGTGCTAAAAGAAAAAGATTAAAATGAAATTATTCTAAAAAAAAGTTGCTTTCTTACCCTGCAGCAGGTTCAACCACCAGATCTGGCATCCCAGCCGACGACGCCTGACTCCCCACCGGTCCCTCATGGTCCAGGATGAAAACCTCATCCTGACATATTTCTGTCACAAAGTGAAGATGCTCCTGCAGAAAACAGTCAGAGTGAAATAAGAACCTGTTCTCACCAGGCGTAGTGACGTCTGACTGCCGTCCTTACCTGAGCTTTGTCGATGCGATAGAAACGATCAGCTGATGTCGCTGAAATCATAAGAAACAAAAACAAGTTGCTTTGTCTGTAATTATAACAAATAAGATTATACAAAATATTAAATGTGTTTTTGAAACTCACAGTCCAGGAAGCTCCAGTTAGGAGACAGTCTACTGGTTGAACTGGTTATGGGAACGCCTCTGATTTCATCCTGCAGGTAAAAAAAACAAACAAAAAAAACAAAAACAAACCATTTTATTATTGAACTAACAATTAGAAATGCATAGATAGACACAGTAAATTGTAAAAGTAAAGTAAGCAAAAAAGGAAAGAGTAGAGAACATAAAGGCATCAAAGGAAGCAAGGATGGAAAGAAGGAGACAATGAAGGAAAGGAAGGAAGAACGAATGAATGAGAAACAAGAAGGATGGAAGGGCAGCATTTAGGAAATGAAACAGGAAATAATCTCTGTAAATATAAATCATATTTTAAAATTATCTGAAAAATATATAAAATCCAAACTTTTCCAGACGGCATATAAACTCTAAATTTAAGAAGCTGGAAAAGTTTAATTCCTCATATTCTTAATATTGAAAACAAATGTGTCAAAAGAGAATATAAGTTAAAGGTGCTGAGATTAAAAAAAATAATTCAGAACAGAAATTATGGAACAACTGAGATAAACTAAATCTCTCACTACATTTAAAAGCAAGTTTAAAAAAATCCCTATGATGAATTATTGGATGTTTTTTGTGTAATTATTACATTTCTAAGTTAAAATCTTTATGTAAATAAGGGGAAAATATCCTTGAACTGTTCGTATTCACTGATCGGTGATTAAATAAAAACTTAAATGACATGAAATCATTGTAAAGAATGCAACATTTTTCAAATGACAACAAATCAAAACCTAAAAATAGAGCTGGGCGATAAGACTTGGAGATAAAACCTCAGTATTTTTCTGACAGCATATCTGAATTTAATTATTTTAATCGTTTTGTTTTCTAAAATTGAATCACAAAAAAATTAAAAAGAGGTTTTAATTTCAATCCTCCCTTCTGTGATTTGTATGTTGGAGGTCTAGAGAATTTGTATTTAATTATGAGAATAAAGTCATAACACTAGCAGAATAAAAATGCAATTTTACCAAAATAACATCTTAAAGTTACAAGAAAAAAGTTGTTTTAATGAGGAAAAACTCTTGATTATTTTTTTGTATTGGATTTCTCATAAAATTATCACTTGATTCTTCTAATATTTATATTTTATTCTAGTAATATTAAGACTTTATTGTCATATTATTATTGACTTTATTCTTATATATAAATATATATATATATATATATATATATATATATATATATATATATATATATATATATATATAAGAAGAAGGAAATCGTAGCCTGACTCTTATATTTTGTTGTAGAGTTTAGATGAATTCAACATCTAAACAGAAGCTGTAAAACAAAATGGGCAAAAAAATCCAGATTTTCCAAAACTTAAATTAAAAAAAAATATATAATAATAAAAATTGATTGATCAATAAAACCGATTTATCGCCCGGCTCTACTTAAAGGCCCAAATGTCTAGAAATATTCCCTAACTGTCCCTCTCCAAGCGAAGTACCTGGTAGTGCACTCTGTGGCCAGTAGATGGCGCCTGGTGTAAATCCTAGCAGGCACAGCAGTCAGGTTTGAAGGTTAGCAAGCAGCCGAAGAAAAAACAAAACACACAAACTTCCACACATGTTAAAGTCAAGAAGCTTTCAGCACATGAGACAACCAGCTTAATAAGCAGCGCTGCGCTCCGAGGTCACCGACCCGCCAATAAATAACCCGGATCACGCAGAAGAGGAAGAAGCGACAGAGGAGGAGAGAAATCAAAGCGGCGACGAGCAGACGCCGATGATGATGATGAAGATGAAAACTTGCCTCTTGTAGTCTGTCGATGTAAAGTCTGCAGGTCTCCAGGTCGCAGTCGCCCCTGACAACCACAATGCCTACTGGGATTGCTGGGAAACACAACAAACACGTAAAAACACTTTAAATTACTTCCTCTTAGTGCAGGGGTGTCCAAAGTGCGGCCCGGGGGCCATTTGGGGCCTTTGGGCCACCAACTGGTGTTCAAAAATGATACAAATTTGGCTTTTTGATGCAGATGGAGACTTTTAATTTGTAATCAGGGTAAAAACTACCAATGTAATTTTATTTTCTTGTGTTGTACATTGAAGTACAACAAAAAGTATTTTGCTAATCAAGTTTTAACAAAAGGTAAAACCAAGTTTATCCAAATTTCTTTCTTAAATGTGGCTAAATAATAGCAAGCGTTTTGAAACAATGTGACCCAAAGCCTGTTCTTATTACTGAAAATAATACAGTTCAGCACAGCAAATATGCAAAATCTGAGATGGCGTATTACTTTTTTTTTTTTTCTAATTTGGGAGGGGAGGCGGGTGTGTGTGGAATCGAAGAGTTATTATTTTTAAAAAAACTTTTTGAAAATTTTCTTTTGAATTTTTTACCAGAAAATTTCCAAGTGATTTTGTGATTAAGCATAAGAGTTTTCAATTTTTGGTGAAATTTTAATCATACTGCTTTATTTCAAAAAATTATTTTTATTTTTCTAGAAAACTTGTCAAATTTTTCCAGAAAAAATTCCAAGTTTTTTTTTTTTTTTTTTTACAAACTTGTGATTAATCACAAAATTTCAGAGTTTTTTGTGAAAATTTACTCAGGTATTCAAAGTTTTCCTGAAAATTTGGAATTTCTCTTCTAGAAAAATGTTAAAAAAATTTCAAGAAAATTTCCCAGTTTTCTAGAAACTTGATTAACCTGAAAATTATTTTTATTTTCTTAATTTTAGGGTTTTGGCCTATGTGGCATAAAGTTTGGACACCCCTGTCTTAACGGGAGAATATTTAAATGAATATTTAAGCCGGCCTTACAGATGTCTCGCAGTCGCTCCTTGTCGTACTGCAGCCTGTCGTACTCCTGCAGGCTGATCCGGTTCACCCGCAGCCGCAGACGGTCCGGAACCGCATGAGGGCTGCAAGGGAAGAACATGGCAGTGCATGTACGTGCACGCACACGGATCAGACATGCTCGCAGCGCACACATGAAACGGAGCAGCGACCCGGAAAAGTATTCACATTTACAACCACAAACTTCAGTCTGTTTATTCAAATTGGGAAAAGGAAAAAAAAAAAAATCTAACGTGGGTTTTAAATGTTTTTTATGAATAATAAAAAATATATAGTTTTAAAAAACATATTTATGAGACATTTTCAAACTCAATCTTCTAGATTTATTTTCATAATTTTTTATGGACATTTGAGAGCAAAATATTCACCTTGTTTACGCACATCATGAAATAAAGATGGCAGGACCAGTGTGCTCAATTTGGACAGGACTTAAATGCATTTAAATTATTTTAGTAATCGATTATTCTATCAAATATGCTGATGATTAATCGATTAATCAGATAAAAATTGGTACATTTTGCAGGTTATTTAACCACTTTGGCCTTTTTAATGCAATATTAGAAATACATTAAACTATGCAAATAAATAATTCAGTTCCTTTTTTAAATAAGAAAATAAACAGTTTATTGTCTTAATGTAGTGACATGTAATTCCTTTAGTGAATGCTTGATCTTTTATAGATTAATTGACTAATTTTTGGATTCACCGATTAATAATTGATAGCAAAAGGTCCTTAATAAGAGATTGTTTTTTTAAAATGACTTCTGAGATTTCTCTGAAACTAAGTTTCTAATCTTTTAAAATATGAAATAAAGTCTTGAAATGTAAACATTTTCCTTGCTCAAGGTTTCCACACTGCAAAAACACGAACTATTACCAAGTGGTTTTAGTCCAAATATCTTAATACACTTCAAATAATACAAAACTAACTTAACAGTGACTTTTCAGCCAGAAATAGGAGCTTGTTTTAACTAAATAATTCCTTAATATTGATAAGTTCTAGTTTCACAGATTTTTTAACCTTAAACAAAACATTTTCCAATGTTATAAGTGAAATAATCTTTCTAATTACTGACTTCATGAGTAAGTGGGGTTTATTTTTGTAAAAATATTGGAACCTCTTTCCACTTCACATTAAGCTCCACTGATGTTTATGGTTGTAATGTAACTGAAGAGGCTTGAACACTTTAGCAAGGCACTGCATGTAGTTTGTATTTACGCTGACATGCACGCACAGACGCTCACAAATCACAACTAAATCTGAACTTTAGACATTTTTGCAACTTTTAGTTCCTGCTGTCTGGTTCTCCTCTTAGCTAGAGCCTTAAAAGATAAAGTCTCACTAACTGGAGGCTGTAAAACATTTTTAATCTAATTCAGCAGCACAATATCAAATCTGAGCTCTGGTGATGTTTCAAAAGATGCTGGAAAAGAAACAAAAAACCATCGGAAACTGCCCGCAGCATCTCACCATCTTACATTTAAAAGAATAATAATAAAAAACCCTCACTTTCATCCCTCAGATATTATATAAATAAGTATTTTTGTATGGAAAGAGCAAAGACGTCACATTGAGGGGAGATATAATAAAAGCAGAGCTCACAGTAAAGTTAAAGGGACGACAGCAGGAAAAGATAAAGACGAGGCAGAAGCACACTGAGAAGACGTCAGCATGCCGCCAGACACTTCCTCGCTTTAGTAAACACTTCCTGGACAGACAGACACTTACATTCAGCACAGCAGTTTGACCCATATTTGATGCTTTTTAAAAAAAAAAGAAAATATATGTATATTAAAAAAACCTGCTCTACGTTTTAAATGTGAAAGTTTTCCCATCAGACTTTTGCTGTTGCAAAAACAAACATTAATGTTTTTAATCATAAAAGAAACATTTTCATAAACTCTACAGCTAAAATGGGTCTTTTTGTAATAAATTCTTCAATATTCCTCTGGTCTAAACATGTTTTGATCCTTCTGAACTGATTAAGACGGAACAAACAACTAACATTTATGTTAGATATCAATTAATCTATCAATTGTGCTGACGATTAATCAGATAAAAAAAATGCAGATTTTTTAAATCAAAGGTTGGAAATAAATAATTCAATTGCTTTTTTAAATAGCAAAATAAACATTCTATTGCCTAAAATGTAATCACAGAGTAGATTTATTATTTGTAGATGCAAATGAACATCTGCAGCTGAAAAATACTTTAGATATCAACTTGTGAAGCTAAACTGTCACTTTTTGTTCTGAGTAGAACATAGAAAGGTTTTTTTTATTTATTTAAATGCAAAATTTATATTTCTGAACAGTTAGCAGCTCTGAGCGTGTTGTTCTTTTGGCAGATGGCCTTTTTAGAGCCTGTACTCCATTTAACGATTAATTGATTAATAAATTAGTTGACAATTGTATCAGTGAATCATGATTAGTCTAATTACTTGTTTCAGTCCTGCAAAGAAAATGCACAAACATAAACAAAATTACACCACAACATTCAAATCTACCAGAATATGGTGATCACATTTATTGTCAGAGAGGCAGAATTAATTGTAATTGTTTCTAAATTAGCAGCACAAAATCTTTTATTTTTGTTGCAAAATCCTGGTGAGACTGATCCATGTGAAAAGATACTTAATAAATGCGGAAACGGTTATTTAATGATATTTTAACAGTTTGTTAATGGATTTTATCAAAACATTTTGGTGCAACTGGCCCTTTAAGAACATTTATGATCTTAGTACGAGTTTGACACCTCTGACATTTTCTGACAAATCACATGAGGAATTATCTTATTGTTGCTAAAATACTATTTCTGTTTACCAAACTGTTCTTTGAAGTGAGTAGCTTAAGCTGAGATCCTCTTTTATTTAAAACCATGTAACGTTTATCACCTGGAAACTATTTAAAACCGAAAAGGTTTTCCTCGCCGAAACTCCTTCCTCAGATTTGACTTTTGCTCAGAACATTACGATCAGCTGAAAACTAAACTGTAGGAAAAGCTGCGGTGATTTCCGTGACACGGCCTTCAAATATGGGCCAAACGTAACGGATAAAACGAGACGGCACCTTTCCATCCGCGCCGACGTGCACAGAGACACGCGAGCGTCCAGCGACAGAACAGGGGTTAGAGGTACTTACACAGAGAAGGAGTCGGGGGGAGCAGAGAGGCGGCGCAGATCAGCTGCACACACCTTCTGAATACTACGGCCGCACAAACGCAAACAAACACGACAAACACGGGAGAGAGGACGGACGGATGGCGGTGGAGAGAGGAGACAACAGGAAAGAAAAAGAAAAGGCGGGGTAAGTGTGTTGGACGGATGAAGAAAATAAGAAAAGGATGGAGAGGAGGAGGGAAAGATGGAGAAAATCCCAAAAGGTAAGTCGACAGACATTGATAGCACAGTCCCATAGCAGTGACACTAGATAAACAACAAGAAGCTAAAGTCTCTACTCTTCTTTCTACCACAAAAGGCTGGGCGATCAACTGGTTTTATTTTTTGAAAATTACCTTTTTTTTTTTTTTTTTTTTTTGGGAAATTTTGGTTTTTTTTCCCCCCCCAAAAGGCTCTCTTGGGTTTGCGCCCTTTTTTTACGA